GTCGACGGTGTATTCCCCCCGTCATCTAGAGTCGAGTTGGACGCAAAGAGAGAGCTCAATAGATTGGCTTTCTCCTTTGCGGCATGGGCCAGTGAGTCGTCCTCTCTGTGCAGAGATGGAAGAGATGGCTGACAGAAGTTTTCTTGGACAGCCTTGGCGAGAGACCAGAACGCACGGGTTCCCGAAGGCAACTACTGTTGGAGTGTGAGTGGCACCATACTCCGGATCAGACAATGGTCCGAAGAGTCCAGAGGGGCATCGACGGAGACCTGATATCCGTCCGGATGAGAGGTCAGCAGAAGGTCCAATAGGGAAGGTACATGGTCTTCCACATCTGGGATCCGCGTAGGCGAAGTAACCAGTTATGTTAGACCATATGCCAAGGCAAAGTCATAGACAGATCTACCCGCATGATCGGTTAAACGAGAAACCAAGCTATTCAGCGTGGTGGGCGTTAAAGTCACCGAGTATCACGATCTCTGCAGATGGGACCTGTTCTAGCAGCAATAGGCTTATAATCGGAGCATGCACCGTCTACTACGACCTTGATGCTCTGATCAGCCAGAAAATTGGTGATCCAATTGCACAATTTCACCCATAGGAAAGAAGGTTTGAAAGAAGCACTTAGTGCCAAACCCTATCGAAAACTTTCGCTATGTCTAAATTAACCGCCAAAGCCTCACCCTTAGACTCGATCGCCCACACCCATCGGTGTGTTAGGTAAACAAGAAGATCACCAGCTGAGCGACCCCGACGGAAACCGTATTGGCGATCACTTATCAGCTAGTGCTCCTCTTGAGTAGCACGTTGGTACCGCAAGAGTTGGCAGTTTATAATGGGCTCCATTATTTTCGAGAACAAGAAGGTGATGGCGATAGGGCTGTAGTTGTACGGATGAGAGAGGTTACCTTTTCTACCGACTTCAAAAAGAAGACGGTACTCAATTTGACTGTATGTTTTTTTTCTTTTTTTTATGTGTGTTACCTCATAACTTTTTTCTGGGTGAACTGATTTCGATGATTTTTTTATTTTAAACCTGGTGCTTCTCATGTGGTCCCATATAAATTTGATCAAAGTTTGACTAATAGTTTTTGAGTTCTGCTTAAAAATTTATAGTGAAGTCGGTTGTACAAAATTTTTAATTTAAAATTATTTAGGGATATACGAAAGCTGTCTTCCATGAACTTGGGACAACGCCCAGGGAGTAGGAGAACCGAAAAATATGAGTTAGAACTGATGTCAACTTTGGAGCACACGTTCTCACAATTGGCGGGATTCCATCAGGCCCACTAAACAGAGATGGTAAAGATGGCTTACAGAAATTCCCTTGAACAGCCTTGGCGAGAGACCAGAATGCACGGATTCCCAAAGGAAGGTGAACTAATTTCTCACCAATTCTGCCAAGGTGCATATTTTGCCTTGGCAATAACTCTTTTGAAGGACCTGTAGGCGCAGCTATACTTCTTTTTAAGCATGCTGGTGTGTACATCCCGAGCCGCTGAAGTGTCAGCCCAGGCCTGATAACACTCCTGCATAGTGCGTAATGCAGTTTTACGCCTTTTCATTGAATCCAAAGCTGCTAGGTTGTATATTGCAGCGCTAGCCTATACAATATGTAACAAAAACCCTGTGGTTCCCGTTAAGTATGTTATCAGGATCATTATTCAAACGTATAGAAATAACTTTTTTTTTAAAAACTCGAACAATACTTTTTTATTTTATTTAAAAAAAATAATTGTATGCAAATTGTATATGGTTTTATTACCTCTGCATTGTCTGGGGAGTAAGAGGATTGTCAAAGACCCCGCTTTACTTAGCTTTAGCGTCGGCTAGTGTACGTAAGAGGTAATAAAACCACATAAAATTAAAAAAAAAATTAAAAAGAATATGGTCGAGTTTTTAAAAAGTTATTTCGATAGGTTTGAATACTGATCCTGATAACGTACTTAACGGGAATCACAGGGTTTTTGTTACATGTTGTATATGGCAGCAATGCTCCATGCACAACCGGACTTGCGCTTTCATGTTTCAAATTATATTACAAATATTATAGGTATTAGTAATGACTTTCAGGGACGTGTGATGGTGTCGTAAGAGAATCCATCACCCCATATTGTTTCGTAGGTGTTACAAAAGGCATCTATAGGAATTCGTTTTTTTTTTTTACGTGGCAGAGCTACGCTATATTATAGTTGTAGCACGAATGGGTCGTTTTGACTGGGATAGGACCATGGTCTCACGGAATACCAGCGTAAAATAGCAGCTTAATGCTAGACCCTTTGCACTAGAAACGAGGTTTTTCATCTTAGTCATCAGGAGTCATGATGACGCATTTACATTTTAGAATAAATGAGAATAAGTTGAGATATCTATAGGCCACAGCGTCCACTTTCGATCGGGTGTACTGTGTGCTCATTTGTCACTCTTATTCTATAAAAAAAATTAAATACCAAAAAATCTTTTTGTATAAAAATATGTTGTAGACGATTTTGTTGCGACCGTTTCATTTACGAAAGACGTAAAATACCCAGCCCGTTGACGGGAAGCAGCGTCACAAGTGCACATAAATGCCTGTGGTACTGAGTCTACACAATTGAGAGCATCCTTGATTCAGAACTTTTCAGCCGCTCCGCTTAGATTAAACCGCGAGAATCCTTATCAAATACGAATTTTATCTACGCACTAAATGCGTAGGTAAAATTCTTATTTGATAAGGATACTCGAACCTAATCTCGTACACTAATGTGTCCAAGGCAACGCCTATGCGATAAAATCTCTAGAAAACGAAACAGTGCAGTCACAAATCCTACCATACCCGAAATCTAACAATATTTTGCCCCAGTTCTTATTCCGACTGTAAGGTAACCCAAGAATCGCTTGAAAATAAACGATATTTAAAACACGTACATAATCGTTAGTCTTCAAAATTATTAATTTTAAGAGAAATAACATATTTTATATTTAACACACAGAACTTTCTTCTGTATTGTTTTACATATATAATTGTACATAGACAGAGATCAAGGCCCGGTACAATTATTTGTAAGCCATACAAAAATTTCATTCGTGCGGGATTCAAACCTATGCGGGGCGGCGCAGTATAGTGATTCACGACTACGATAACTAAGGTTTTCACTGTGTTAAAAAAAATATTATAATATAAAAAAAATAATATAAAAATTTTAACAGTTCTTTTTCTCTAGGCATAGAAATATACTGTATATTCATCCTCATATTCATATTATTTATTGCATCCATAGTGTTACAGTTAAGGTGTTGAGAACATTTTAAGTTTTAACTTAAAAATATGATATCATTGTGGGCCCTGCAAGGCACGACAATTAAGAGAGATGAGGGCCATTATAACGAAACAATAATGATAAATACACTTTTAAATAAAAATAGAATTGAAATACTAGGTAGGTATTTAAAATTTATCATTTAAGTTTTCATTTAGTTTGTAGTAGTGTTTACAAGTATAGTATAGGTACATAATATATCTATGTTTCTGGAAGTGTCTGTTTTCTTATAATAGGCCAGTATTTGGCCAAAATCCCACCCGGTGGTTATGAAGCCCTAGATGGTAAATCGCAGTCTTAGCGTAACAAAATATTCTTCCTATTTAGTCTCGTCTTGAAGATGACCAGCTTGTATGACGCCGGCAGATTATTTAACTCATTTGCTGCATGCATTCCGAAAGATGAAGTCAAGCAACATGATGGTTAAAAGGGGAGGAATATATTAAAGCATGTAATTCCTGCATCACTCTCCAAAATGCATCCTATAGAATACCGAGATGCTGGCTACTCTGCACCTGTCCTTAAGAATGACAGAATAGGTTTCATCCAAATCATGGCTACCAATAATCATCTTATCACATCTCTTTACTAAGTTCAACACTGCTTTTCGGTATTTTGCAACAAAAGCCCACATGTGACAGCAGTATTGCATGCACGGCCGGAATTGCTGCCCCAAGGTGAAGTCCCGCCGCATCCTAGCTAGGATACCTAACTTTCTTGCCACTGCTATGGACCTGGACTTTATGAACAGCCCATAGTTAAGGTTCGTAGAAATCTCAACGTTACTAATTTTTGTCTTATAAATGAAGTAATTTAGGACAATTGTAGTTATAAGGTAAGTTTAACATGCATCTCTAAAAGTAACAGAAATATTGTTAAAAGCACTATCTAATTATATCTAAAATACTAACTCCTACGTTTTAGTTATTCCCCTATGAACTCAATTAATTAATTCAATACTCAATAATATGTAATAAAAAAGTATTATTTTAAATATTTAATTTTGTTGAACCACAGTGAGAATTCATAGCCCAATAAAATGTTTAACACTCCTGGTCACGAAAAGTATGCCACTTTTATTCCTTTTTAGTCCACTTTTACAATTTTTATCGAGAGAGATTTTTGTAGAGCCGTTTAGGCTAGACTAAGACCATCTGATGTGGGGTCGCTCCTAGAAGTAAAGGTTAATAATAAAGCTTTCCCTCCTACTTCACGAACTTAGTATTCCATCTACGTTCATGAAGCTTTAATTGAAGTTAGCCAATAATAATTTCATAACACAATGCTTATTTGTCTATCTTAAGCGATAAAGCGTTTCTTATCAACTTTAAAATTTAATTTTATGCATTATATACTTTCTATCTTTTATTTAATTTCATTTATTTTTACCTATATAATGATTTTATAGCAAGCAAGTAGCAACACTGATTACTGATTTATTTGACAATTTTGACATTAGTCATCCGATCACCCGATACAATACAATGTGTATTTTTCATACATACTTTAATATTTTAGTAAATTACCTTGTTATCACTCCTTGCCAACAAATTGAGCATTTAATCTTAGGCCTGTAATTTTTCGGTTATCGCTTTCATGTGTCGCACGATGCATGAACATAATATCGCGATGCAAGAATGCAAACGTTCTCACACTACTTTTTTGTCAGTAAAACCATAGTTTTATCGTTTAAATTATAAAATGGACAGTGGCGGTGATAGTGGTAATAAAAAGGTGGAAGATGTAACAGTGCAGAAGAAGGAGCTTCCGTCGAACTTACAGAAAATCTGTCTCGTCTGCGGAGACAAAGCTTTAGGCTATAATTTTAATGCAATCTCATGTGAGAGTTGCAAGGCGTTTTTTAGACGTAATGCATTAGCCACTAAGGAATTTAAGTGTCCATTTACTAATAACTGTGAGATTACTGTTGTAACGAGGCGTTTTTGCCAGAAATGTCGACTGGAGAAATGTCTAGCGGTTGGAATGGTGAAGGAATTCATTATGTCAGATGAGGATAAAGCTGAAAAGAGACGAAAGATAGAAGAGAACAGAGCGAAGAAACGCCAGCTCTGCGATCCAGATGATGCAGTTAGCAGCTCTAAGAATTTTAAACGGGATGATGATGTAAATACTTTGAGTAATTCAAATTATGTCACGCCAATGCAAGAGGCATCCATAGTTCAGTATGATGTCCTCAACAGTACAACATGCAGTCCAAACAGCACAGTTCAGTCACCTTTAAGCAATGACTTGGATAATTCTATTAATTCCCCACCTGTATATCATCAGTATGTTCCAGTCCAAAATGCAGAAATTCCCTATACAATGAAGGTTTATCCAATAGATGAGAAAACTGTTATCAATAATACAGTTTATGAACAAAGGGTCATGGACCAATATGTGTGTGATAGTGTGGACAGTTTGTACTCGGAACCGCCTAAACAAAATAGTATAAGGTAAGAGAAGCTTCCTTGCGCTAAAAAATCCTCTTAGAAATGAGGGGAAGCCTGTGCCTAGCAGTGAGATGTATATAGGCTGTAAGTTTAAGAGAAGCTTGCTTGATTGATCATTTTGTTAACATAAAGTATTAAGTAATTGTTCAAAAATGTAGGAAATATATTGGGTCTTTCAAACAAGAGGCAAAAGTCAATCAATTCTGGTTTCTTTAATCCTTTTGTTGTCTTGTGTACTACATATAGGTCTTTGCTATTGACATACTGTCTGGAAATTAAATAGTGAAAGTGTTAAGTTATTAAATTATTTGACTTTAAGTTTAGGAGAGCTACAACACTGCAGCTATATTATGTTTGTAGCACAAGTAGGTTGGCTCAACTGGGGAAGGACAATGCTCTCACAGAATACCAGTGTGAAATAGCAGCTTTATGCTGCTGTGTTTCATATGGTGAGTATTGAGAACTGAAGAGTTTTTACTGAAAACTAGACATTCCATCTTAGTCCTCAGGAGTGATAACGCATCTGCATTTTGATTCTTATTCAAGGATAGATGTAAGCCTGTTTGTAACACTCATTCTATAAAGAAAAATTGCTAGATATCCTTTCCAAGTTTCAGCAAATGCCATCAAACAGAAAGAAAGAAACTTTTTTATTCAATATAGATTACAAATAATGCTTATTGAAAGTCACCCTTATGTTGAATTTACCATTGCTTCAGAAAATACCTCTGTCCTGGGAAGAACCAGTAAAAAAACCTAGTGGGACTTTTTTTTTAAATAACAGTTTACTATCATGTATATTACACAATTAGCAACACAAAAAAAATTAGAAGTAGCTTGGTAGCAATCCATAAATTCCTTAATATTATAATAACCCTTTTTTACAAACTTAGTTAAATAATGTTTTTGAACTTTGAGTAGCTCATATTTTCTATATTTTCTGGGATTTTGTTGTAAAAGCATATTCATCGTGCCAAGAATGAACTACCAACTCCGTGGGGTCGCGTAACTAGTACTATTACCTTTTGTCTGTTCCTAGTATTTACAGAATTAATATCATTTATGTTAGGGTATTTACATTACATTTTCATAAATGTATTGAGAGGCATATATGTGAATGGGAATCCCATTTACACCCCATTTTACTATAATAATTATAACTCTAAGAGATAATAATAATAATAATAATAATAAATAATAAATATTTTTATTTCAGTAACTTAGTCTATTACAAATATTAGTTGTGGGAACTCCCCTTTAGGCAATACATCGCCTGTGTTAGGAAGAACCGCTCTTTTACAATCACTTACATATAAACTAAATTACAACGAATATACACTAAAACAAGCAAGTTTTCATATATTATTATTATAAGTTTACATTTATTAAATTTATTTATTTATTAAATTTCCTTCTGCTTGTGTGTGTGTGTGTGTGTGTGTGTGTGTGTGTGTGTGTGTGTGTGTGTGTGTGTGTGTGTGTGTGCGCGCGCGTGCGTGTGTGCGTGTGTTTTAGTTTTTAAGCATCAGTTCTGCCTCAATGTAACTTTTTGATTTTAGCCAATTCAAAACCGTTTTCTTACAATCTTTTTTATTAAGTGGGAATATGTTAAGATATTTATTTATTTTGTTGTAGATTGAGGCAGACTGTATATAGTACTGCCGTCTAGCAAAGTCTGATTTTACTATGGGAACTAAGGCAACTTTATAGTTTCTTCTCCTGGTTAGCAACTTAGCATCAAAGGGAAGAGATTTGTGCATTCTAAGAACAATGTCCAATATGTATAGTTTACTAACTGATAGAAGATTAGCTTCCTGGTAAAGACTTTCAGTGGGGTATCTATATGGTTTTAGAAGCATTACTTTTATCAGCAACCTTTGAGCTCGTTCTAGACATAGTAGAGAAGTTTTAGCAGCCGAGCCCCACACTGATATGCAGTATACCAGTATGGATTGGGCGAGTGCAACATATGTTTGAGTAAGTAATTCTTTACTCGCAATGTGACGTAAAGTTTTAAAAGTCCAGATCAGTTTTCTCACTCTTTTCATGGTCAGTTCTATATGCAGGTGCCAAGAAAGCCGCTGGTCGACGAGAATCCCTAAGTATTTAGCATAAGCGACCTTATCTATTCCAGTACACGAGCAGTCAGTATCAGGCGGGTCACCACACTTGTGAATTTTTATGTTATAATTTGATGGGGGTTGAGTTGAGATGTTTTTACTGAAACAGATATATTGAGTTTTAGCTGCATTTAAAGTAAGGAGGCTTGTATCTAACCAGGATGCTATCTTTGCCAGGGCTTTTTCTGCCGATATTTTTACTTCATTCCAGGATTTGCCAGAGAACACGATAGCTGTATCATCTGCGTAAGAAAATACAATACCATTGAATAATTTTAGAAGACAGAGATTATTTATATACACCAGGAACAGCGTTGATCCCAGCACACTCCCCTGTGGGACACCGAATGTTAAAGTGGTTTCCTGGCTAGTGTGGTTGCCTATTCGAACACGCTGCTTTCGGTTAGTAAGATAATCTTTGATTAATTTGAGAGGAGTACCTCTCACCCCTACTTCCTCTAGTCTATTTAACAGGATGGGCACCGACACTGTATCGAATGCCTTCTTTAGATCGAGCATTACTCCCAAACATTTGTTTCCAGATTCCACTTCTTTTACTACGAAAGTTGTAAGAGCCAGTACAGCATTTTCAGTCGATATGCCTCGTTGAAAACCAAATTGATTTTTTGCTATGATGCTATATTTTGTCAAGAATTTTGTGAGTCTAATATTAATTAATTTTTCTAAAATCTTAGACACTGATGAGAGAACAGAGATTGGACGGTAGTTACAGGGGTCACTTTTGTTGCCATCCTTATATATAGGTGTTATTAAAGCTTGCTTGAGTACAGTTGGAAAAATTCCCTGTTCGAAACACAAGTTGGCCATATGGGATATAATTGGCGCAATTTCATTAAGAGCGAGTCTTAGATAAGAAGTTGGGATATTATCCCATCCCGGGGAGCTACTTAGTTTCATAGACTTAACAACTTCACATATTTCAGCACAATCAGTATCATATAGGACAAATGATGAAACCTGTTTTATGTTTGTGTTATGTTTCACTAACGGAGAATTTGAGATTTTAATTTTTTCTGCTAGCTCTTTTCCAATATTTGTGAAATAGGTGTTAGTGATATCTACCGATGCCTGTGGAGACGAAGTTGCATGCAGGAGTTCAAGGTTATGGGTTTTGGGGGATTTACGTTGCGTTATTCCGTTTATAGTATCCCATAACTTTTTAGGGTTTTTTTGAGCTTTGGTAAGCTGGTCTCGATCATAGTTCCTTTTCAACTTTTTTAAAATACAACTGCAGTAGTTACGGTACCTTTTATATATTATTTTTAAAGTGTCATTATATGGGTCAAGTTTTAGCCTTCTTTGCATGTCATTTCTGTTTCTGATACAGCGTAGCATACCTGGAGTAACCCAAGGTTTTAAGATCCTTTTGTTCGCTGAGATGAAAGTAATAGTCGTATTTAATTTTAAGCTCTGTTGCAGTCTTTTTATAAAAAGTTCAGTTATAATATTAGGGTCAGTATATTCTAATAGATCAGATAATTTAGTTGTTTTTAAAAATTCTAGGGCTTTGTTGTAGTTGATTTTAGTTATAGTTTTGTTATTTGTTTTTGGTTTATCAGGGCAGGATATTTTTAGAAAGATCATACTGTGATCAGTAATAGTGGCATCGAGTACAGCAATAGTGACATTTTGATGTGCGTAATCGAGTTTTAGAATAAAATGATCGAGGCAATTAGGTCCTCTCGTTGGAATGGAGTGACCTGGAAGGAAGCTCAGTGAAGCTAACATTTCCAGGTAATTGTGTCTGTTACTGCGTTCGTAGGGTTGTTCGTCATGTCTATAGATTAGATTTATATTAATGTCTCCGGTTACGATGATATTTTTAGTCCCTTTAATAAGTTCCAGGTGAGTACATAATGAGTTAAGGAATTGCTCGGCTTTGCGATTAGAGGGTGAACGATAAATGCCAAGAACTGTAAGTTGAGGTAAGGATATCTGCAGGCACGACGCATGTTTTAGATAGACTTCAGATACGTTAGCTTCCTGAGTGGATTTAACATAGGCGACTACTCCATCAGATTGATTTAGATGTTTAAATGTTTGAAAAGAATTATAACCTATTATCTGAGGGATGTGTTTATCAGGTTTCAGTTTGCATTCACTAAGGATGATAAGATCAGAGTTGAAGTCAAGGGCGGATACGTTTACTTGAAACTCATTAAAATTGGCATATATACCTCTAATATTTTGGGATATTATTGTAAAGTCTGTATTTTGTACTGTGATAATATTCTTCAGATTCTCAATTTTACATTCGAAGTTAGAAAACGTGCCAGAATTATCTATTGCATTAATATTATTGAGAACGTGATTCATGTTTAGTTTTAAGAATCCTTAATTCGTTAGCAGTATATGGTAAAAAATAGATATTATGAGTATTATGTGGTACAGATTTCAGAATTATGTATTGTCTGAGGCAATGAGTGTAAAAGTGTGTAGTAAGTTTTTTGATATTGTGTGTGTTTTTTGCTTTAAAAATGTGTTTGTTTGTGAATGTGTAATGATTGAGATATTTGAAGTTGCTGAGTAGTAAATAAGTACAATTATTTTGCATGAATGGTGTTTGTGTACGAGCAGTTATTAAGATAAAAGAACTTACAAGAGATGAAAGCGATAACAGCCAGATGATTTTTGACTCTAGTCATTTCAACTGTAATAAGTTTTGCACCTGTTGTTCACTTCTTACTAATTCTCTTCTTAATAATTAAAGCAAGAGTAGTCTGTTAAGGGTGAGGAATGTAAACTTGGAAAGTCATTAGTTGGAAGCCGCCGTTCGACTACTATGTGGGATTAGCAATTCTTCCTACAACAGATTGTTTTTCAAATTATTTGAGTTAGAGTTTAAAGAATCAATTCAGAAAAAACTAAGCTTAGATCTTGCTTTCTCAAAATTCTATATTTCTTTCATTTTGTTTTTAAGCTTTCATTGAAAACAAAACTGCTCCAAAAAAATTATCTTTAATCAATAACTAAGCAAGCAGGGCATGACTATAACCGAACCCTAGCACTAGTGAGTAGCTTGTAATTGAAGGCTTGTTATTTTGTTGGGCTAAGTAAGCAACTGTGTTTGCCCAGTGGTCAAAATTTAACTGTTATTCATTAAAAAAATTAAGTTTGTATATAATATAAATACTTTTGTCTTGACATTTACTCCACAAACAATTGAAAAAGGAACATTTAAAATGACACAAGTTATTATTTAGGGGCAGTATTTTAAAATTCTTTAGCTATAGTCTCTACTCTGTGTGGCTTTTTGACCACAGACTATTAAGTGTGTTGACATTGGCAATATAAATGTAAACAATGAATGTTTTATTTTCTGTAATGTATTTGTAACACATGTATTTTAGCTTTTTGCACTCCTTCATATAAACTTTAACTATGTCAAATTCCACACTTCTTAGTGTGCGCAATATACTTAAAAGGGAGTACAAAGTTTTGCCTTCACATATCACATATATGGAAGATTGATTTTATGTTCATACATTGTGCGTGGTAACAATGCCACATTGATCAATATTTTTGCAGATTTTTAGGAATTCTAAACTCTTTCCATCTAATTCTGAATTCTTGCCTACTCTCTTTGAAACCTTTCCTCCACAACCCTCTTTGAAATAAGAGAAAACCGTCATTCAACAGTGGAATTTATATAGACTGTAACTTTACTTATAGTTTTGGTAATAAATGGTTAAGTTGAATGTAATAAAATCTTTGAAATTAATTCACATAAATTTAAGAAATTATCTATTAATTCCAGGTCAATACTAACAAATGGAGACGCAACAATATATAGAGAAGCAAAACCACAACATATCTGTGAGGAAATGCCTTCCACCAGCAATAATCCTGATGTTAACAAAGCCAGAGACATACTACAGGATGTGGAAAGGTGTTGATATTGATTATTTTTAATAATTACCAAAATTAAGGTGTGTCATGTATTTTATAGCAAAATAATAGGTTACATGGTAGAGCCATGTTGCAGCTATATAATAGTTTTAACACATATGGGTAGGCTCGACTGGAGTAGGATCACACTCTCTATAGACAAAGATCCTTGATTATTCCGAGCCACCTGCATCCACCGACTGCCTGCAGATCTTACCAGGTCATCACACCATCTCGTGGTGGGCTGCCCTACCATCGGTTGCCAGTTCTTCGAGCTATATGGCCGGCCCATTGCCACTTCAGCTTACCAACCCGTTGGGCTACGCCGGTTTCTCTGGCTCTACTGCGGATATGCTCATTTCTAAGTCTATCAGGAATAGAAACCCCAAGCATAGCCCTAACCATAGCTCACTGAGTGACCTTGAGCTTCCTTATATGGCCAAAAGCTGTATAGACTGCAATGTATTACAAACTGACTATCATTTTATACCAACAATGTTAGTGAACAGGGCTGCTATTTGTAATTTATATGGGACCTTCGTATTACCAATAAATGCAAGTGGTAAAATTAAAAATTTTATACAACCAACTTCAATATAAATAAAATTGTCAATGTAGTTGAAGTCAATTAAATACGCATTATTAAATCTTATTATTATAGCATTTTAAGAACGTGATTAAATTTATATGGGACCACATGAGAAGCACCAGTTTTAAAATAAAAAAAAGAATCATCAAAATCTGTTCACCTAGAAACAAGTTCTGAGGTAACACACAAAAAAGTACAATCGGATTGAGAACTTCCTCTTTTTTTGAAGTCGATTAAAAATCACTTAAATCAGTGACCTAACATCAGATATACATTAAAAATAAAAAAGCATAACCAAATTCATAACCTCATTTTATAAAATTGAAAAAAAAATGTATTGTTTTCTTACAGAATAGAACCGAATTCAATGGAGTCAATATTATGTGAAGCAATAAAGTTAGAGTTTGAAGCTTACACCTCGGTCAACTCTTGCAGCGGATCTTCTAGAGAGCTTAATGAAGTATGTATTAATTTTTAATTCTATTTTTTTATAATAATTGTTGACCAGTCCAATTTTTCAGGATGTAAAAATGATGATTCTTTTCACATAGTTAATTCTATCGCAACAATTTCCTCATAATTTGGAAGCTTTCAACTAGGCCTGACTTATTATACAATAACACAGAGGCTACCTTTGCCTTCACGATGTACCTCTTCTAAAATATGTCAAGTTCACTTAAAGGCATTTGCTTACGACGGCATCGTGTGCCGGGTTGTCCCTTTAAAATGGTCGAGGAGAGCAAAGGTTGAACTTACTATAATATCTAAACATAAATATGCACACGCATCAGCTTTTTAGCTGCTATTGTGTTTACGTATTTGTGCACGACGCAACAATATTAAACAAACGAAAGAAAATGCTTATTGTAACCGGCGCTAGTTGAACAACCTAGGACCGGTGGGCGGAGCCAGGACGACGGTGTAATTATCAGGCCACGCCTCTGGTTCGACAACTAGCAAGGGTTATACGGCGGAACTAGCGCAACCTTATGTTGAATTTAAATTATAATTTGTGTAAATAATTGTATTACTTGTATCGAACGATAAAAAATAATGATTGTATTATAACTAAGTTTAAGGTTGAGTTGTAACTGTGCAATAACTCTCCCAAATAAAGGCACCGTATGAACAGGGAGAGTTAGCATAGTCTTCTAATGAAAACTATAATTGTTAAATATAATAAATGTTTACTTTATTATATAATAAATATATTAGGCCGTTAGGCACATAAAAAAAAATAGTAGTAGTGTAACCAAAGAGCATGTTATCGTGACGCGGCCGCGGAGCAAATGAAGCCACGCGCACCGCGCCACGACGTTTTATATTTATAGTGCTGAGGCGGGGGGAAGGATTCTCCGCCTAAAGCAGCTGAAAATTATAATGTAAACCCGTAAATAAGTAAAAATATTGATATGTACACCCTAGTCTAACAAGTAATTATAAGAATATTATATAGTGAATTATGTTTATTAGTTTGTAAGGTTATTAAATAAATAAAGATAGGCGCGGGGGTGAGGCAAGGGTCCGCTGGCCAGCAGCGGCCAAATCATATAAAAGACGGGCCGGCCGCTAGGGTCAGCAGTCGCTCTCCAGCCACCGAAAAGGCACCAGCAAGAAAAGAAAAAGTACAAGTTCCTCCTCACCGCCGCTTGCCTCCAGTTAAAAGCAAGACCAGCGCGTTTTATTCCATTTTTCGCACGGCATTACGGCGATCCGTAATATTAATGGTCCTTCGAGAAGCCGGATTACTAGAAGAAAAAGACAATATCGGTCTTGGTATTGCCGGAAGAAAGAAGCAAACCGCAAGAACGAAAAAATATTATTGTGAAGAAGAATGGTGATTACGCGTAGTAACAACGGAGAATCATCGAAGCGTCGCAAGGATGAACAAACAACCCAGGGGGCCACAGAAGAGGCCTCCGGGGGCGACTCAGCCGCTAGTGGTTCAACAAACACCACTAGCGAAACCACAACGGTCAGCGATACGACCGCTACCTCGGCAACCGATAGAACAACCGCAACGGAAGAAACCCAGCAAGAGGGTGATCAAAGATCGCAGTGCACATTGAAGCCCGGCGAGACTAGGTCACGCCGCTCCGTAGCCTCACGCAAGAGACTCCTCGCGGAGTTAGAGGCGAAAGAGCGGTTAGCCGAACTCAAGCTCGAGCAGGCTCAGTTGCAAGCAAGAACAGAATTGCAAGAAATACACGTGCAGCGACTACAAGCAGAAGCCGGATCAACCGATGAAGATGAAGAAATAGAAGACGATTTGGCATCAGTGCGCATTAGTACATGGTTGCAAGAAAAACCTACGCCTCAGCCCGCGCCTCAGCCCGCGCCTCAGCCCGCGCCACAACCCGCGCCGCAGCCCGCGCCGCAACCCACGTCGTACTTCGCGCCGCAACCAGCACTGCAGATCGCACCACCCGTACTTCAACAGTGTGCGCCGCAATACGCTCCGCAACATACCGCGCCGCAGAAAGAAGACTATGGACAGGCGCAGCAGCAAATCGACGTCGCTACCTTAGCCGCTGCTCTATCACAAGCAGTACGAAGCACAAGGGAGCCGCCGAAATATATACAAGAGCTGCCCTCATTCAATGGTAGCAGCAAGGAGTGGCTCAGCTTCAAGACAATGTACGAAGAATCTTCAAAGTACTTCACGGCGAACGAAAACATAGCGAGAATACGCCGAAGCTTAAAAGGGACAGCAAAAGAAGCCGCAGGTTGCCTACTTATAAGCCAACCAGATCCCAGAATTATAATAGAAGCTTTGGAAAGGAGATTCGGACGACCAGAAGCGTTAATTCACTTGGAAATAGAGAAGCTGAAGCTGCTGAACAAAGTTACGGACAATCCCAGGGAGCTATGCATATTCGCAAATCGCATAGCGAACGTAGTGGGCACCGTGGAAGCACTCAAGAAAGCACACTATCTGCATAGTCCAGAAATGACGCGAGTTATCACAGACAAACTCACGCCCATATTGAAAAGCAAATGGTACGACTATGCAGCCAGAAAGAAAGAAGATATCCCAGAGCTTAAGAAGATATCAATGTTCTTAAACGAAGAAGCGGATAAATGCAGCGCGTATGCCTTGCCGGAGTTCATCGCAGAGGACAGCGAAACGAGAGAGCGAAGACCGAGAAAAATAGAACGTGCCTTCGCCACAAGCAAGAAACCATATGAAGAACGCTGCCCTCAATGCAAACAAGAACACAAACTGCCCGATTGCAAGTCATACGCCGCTCTGTCCACAAATGACAGATGGGAAGTAGCAAAGAAGTACAATATCTGCTACCGCTGTCTGCGAGGCAAACATCGTCGATTACTGTGCAAAGCTCCACCGTGCGGAAAAGGCGGATGCATGATGAAACACCATAAATTGTTGCATCACGACAGAACAGCAGTAATGGAAAAAGAACCCGCTATGGAAACCGCAACATCGGCAAAGGAGGTCAACACAGCGACTCGACCGTACAAGCACCGCCGCGCTTACCTAAAGATTGCGCCCGTAACAATAAGGGGGCCGCTAAGCTGCGTCGAAACATACGCATTATTGGATGAAGGGAGCACGGTCACCTTAGTCGATGCCTCAATCGCCGACGTCATCGGCGCCGACGGCCCAGCCCACACAATGTGGATACAAGGGGTCGGCTCGGAGGTGAAACACGAGAAGAGCAAGATCGTCAGCTTTAAAATAAGAGTAACGTACGCGCAAGAAGAACACAACATAGAAGCAGCGCATACTGTAGAGCGGTTGGACTTCGCGCCAGAATCCGTGAATGAAGATCACTTGGGGAATTGCCCACATCTGTTGGATATCAAAGAGGATATCACCTACGAACACGCCTCACCGAAAGTACTAATCGGGCAAGATAACTGGCACCTCATAGTGTCTAGAAAACTGCGCGTCGGCCGTCGAGACCAACCAGTCGCCTCATACACCAACCTGGGCTGGGTTCTGCATGGCTGTCATAGCTCATTGACGTCGACGGTCACCTTCTGCGGCAGACTACATCAGAGGGAAGATGCACCACCGATAGAAGAAGAAATAAAAAAATATTTCAAATTGGAGTCGCTGTGCATCGAGCCGAGAAGACCGAAAGAAGATCCCGAGCAGCGAGCCATGCAAATATTGGACGAAACCAGCCAGAGGTCAGCGGACGGCAGATTCGAGACAGGGTTGTTGTGGAAACAAAAGGACTTCCAAATACCAAATAATTATAAAGAAGCGGAAAGGCGCCTGCACACCTTAGAGAAGAGGCTCGACCGAGACAGCAATCTCAAGCTACAGTACGAAGAACGCATCGAGAACCTCTTCAACTCGGGTTACGCAGAGCGCGCGCCAATGCCACCGCCGCAAGGAAGGACATGGTATCTGCCACACTTCCCAGTCATCAACCCTGCGAAACCGAACAAACCGCCGAGATTGGTACACGACGCCGCAGCGAAGACAGCCGGAATATGTCTCAACGATATGCTTCACTCGGGGCCCGACTTATTACAATCACTGCCCGGAGTGATCATGAGGTTCCGACAGTATCCGTATGCAGTGAGCGCCGATATAAAAGAAATGTTCATGCAGATTAAAGTGCGCAAAGAAGATAGAGACGTTTTACGTTTCTTGTGGAGAGGCAAGCGGCGGGAGGACCAACCGGAGGAATATAGGATGACGTCAATCTTCTTTGGAGCGACATCATCACCATGCACAGCATTATACATCAAAAATAAAAATGCTGAAGAACATGCAGAAGCGTACCCAGAAGCTGCGGTCGCCATAAAAAGAAACCATTATATGGACGACTACTTGCAGAGCTTCCACTCTGTCACGGAAGCTCAGCAAACAGTAAAAGCAGTCGATCACGTCCACAAACAAGCGGGATTCGTACTCAGCGGGTGGACATCGAACGAAGAAAAAACAATAGAAGAAATAACGACAGAGCATAGACAACACGACGCGACCGTGTGCCTGGGCGGAAAAGAAACTGAGAAGACGCTAGGGCTGCTCTGGCATGTACAAAGCGATCATATTGGATTCAATACTAACAATATGAAGATGCCTGCCGACGTAAAAGAAAAACAACGCTTGCCAACTAAACGAGAAGCGTTGAGCGTCATAATGGCATTATTTGATCCGCTGGGGTTAATATCACCGGTGACCACCCCAGCGAAGAGAATATTTCAAGACACATGGCGTTACAAGGCGGACTGGGACGACCCTCTGCCAACAGAATTAAAAGAAAAATGGGAAGGCTGGATTACTTCACTTAACGCCATAGAACAACTAAGAATACCGCGATGCTACGATTACAACCCGGTGTCGACGCGCCAACTACACACATTCGTCGACGCAAGCGAGGAGGCCTACGCAGCAGCAGTGTATTGGAGAACGGAGCGAGCAGACGGCAGCGTTAACATATCATTGGCCGCCGCCAAGAGCCGCGTAACACCACTGAAACCAGTTTCCATACCACGGCTCGAGTTACAAGCGGCACTGCTGGGAGCTCGTCTTGCGCAGACCGTGATCGATGAACACGATGGCGACATAGCAGGCAAGACATACTGGTGCGACTCCCGTACTGCACTGGTGTGGATAAGATCGGAGCCTCGCGCGTACAAAGCTTTCGTCGCTCATCGCCTGGCGGAGATAGAAGATACGACCAAAAAGAACGAATGGCGTTGGCTACCGTCTAAAGAAAACGTAGCAGACGACGCAACCCGAGCCACACCAGAAGGGTTCGACGAGTCGCACCGATGGTTCCGAGGGCCCCCGTTTCTGCAGCGTCCACCGGCAGAATGGCCGCAGGAAGAGAAAACGACACAATATGACACCGGGGAAGAGCGAGAAATATGTAACATCGCTGTTAAAAGTGAAGACTCGACAACAACACATCTTCCACAGATAGGAAGATTTTCTAAATGGATTCGCCTCATAAGGGCGACAGCGAGAGTCCTCCTATTCATCGACATGTGCAGACCAAACAAGCACGTAGTGAAGGCTGGGCGTAAACGCAACAAAGCAAGACAAGGTAGCGACCCTGGCTGGCAGAGAACAAACAAACGCAACACCCCCGCCAAGGAGAAAAAGGCGACTCCTACTGCCTCATCGCTTGTAGGAATACCGGCCGCTTATCATATGAGAGCCGAACAACTGTGGGTGCAAGCCAGTCAGCGGGAAAGCTTCACGAAGGAGCTCAAGAGAATCACCAGCGGAAGTGTTCCGGGAGGCGACGACAAACTAGGCCACCTGAGCACATACATTGATGAAGAGGGGACCCTACGCCTCAGAGGTCGAATAAAAGCGGCATCAGAAGTGGAGGACGACATGTACGACCCTCCCATATTAGACGGGAAGCACGCATACACTCGCCTGTACATAGCAGACGTACACGAGAGGCTGCATCACGGAGGCGTGGAAACAGTTGTGAATGAATTAAGACAGAGATTGTACGTAAGAAAAATACGTCCAGTAGTGAAAACTGTCGTCAAAGGATGCCTGCCGTGCCGTCTAAGAAAAGCCAAGCCTGCATCACCGTCTACAGGAAACCTGCCGTCCGCACGCCTCGCTCATCACGCACGTCCGTTCACATACACCGGACTAGACTACTTCGGGCCAATAGAAGTCACAGTGGGACGACATCGCGAAAAGCGCTATGGCGCGTTATTTACCTGCATGACGTCGCGAGCAATACACATAGAAGTAGCCCACTCGTTGAGCGCAGACTCAGACGTGTCGGCACTTAGGCGTTTTATGAGCAGAAGAGGATGCCCAAAAGAAATATGGAGTGACAACGCTACGTGCTTCAAGGCAGCAGACAAGGAGATGGCCGAAGCAGCACTCGCAGCCCTCGAGCACGAAACCACGTGTCAACAGATTGTGTGGAAGTACATACCGCCATCAGCACCGTTCATGGGCGGCGTATGGGAGCGAATGGTTCGCTCCGTAAAAGAAGCCCTACGCGTCACCCTCAACGAGCGCTATCCCAGCGACGAAACATTGGGGACCCTGCTCGCCGAGGTCGAAAATACTGTAAACTCCAGACCTCTCACACACGTCTCAGTCGACCCAGGAGACCCTGAAGCCATCACGCCGAATCACATCCTCATCGGTCCCAACTCGCACGTACCTGCGCCGGGACACTTCAGCAAGAATGACGTGACGGCCCGCCAGCAATGGAAACGAGCTCAAGCCCTAGCCGACGTGTTTTGGAGAAGATGGGTTAAAGAATACCTGCCCCTACTCCAACACCGGCGGGAGCCCAGCAGCATAGGAGTATCGCCGAAGATTGGAGACCTAGTCATCATTTGTGACTCCAATCTACCACGCAACACCTGACCCAGAGGGAAAATAAGTAAGGTATATCCTGGCGTCGACGGAGAGGTACGAGTAGTGGACGTAACCACCGGCAGTGGGCACATACTAAGAAGACCAACGAAGAAGATCGTCGTGCTACCAGAGGGATCGCAGCGTGGCGACGGCGGGAGAATGTGCACGACGCAACAATATTAAACAAACGAAAGAAAATGCTTATTGTAACCGGCGCTAGTTGAACAACCTAGGAGCGGTGGGCGGAGCCAGGACGACGGTGTAATTATCAGGCCACGCCTCTGGTTCGACAACTAGCAAGGGTTATACGGCGGAACTAGCGCAACCTTATGTTGAATTTAAATTATAATTTGTGTAAATAATTGTATTACTTGTATCGAACGATAAAAAATAATGATTGTATTATAACTAAGTTTAAGGTTGAGTTGTAACTGTGCAATAACTCTCCCAAATAAAGGCACCGTATGAACAGGGAGAGTTAGCATAGTCTTCTAATGAAAACTATAATTGTTAAATATAATAAATGTTTACTTTATTATATAATAAATATATTAGGCCGTTAGGCACATAAAAAAAAATAGTAGTAGTGTAACCAAAGAGCATGTTATCGTGACGCGGCCGCGGAGCAAATGAAGCCACGCGCACCGCGCCACGACGTTTTATATTTATAGTGCTGAGGCGGGGGGAAGGATTCTCCGCCTAAAGCAGCTGAAAATTATAATGTAAACCCGTAAATAAGTAAAAATATTGATATGTACACCCTAGTCTAACAAGTAATTATAAGAATATTATATAGTGAATTATGTTTATTAGTTTGTAAGATTATTAAATAAATAAAGATAGGCGCGGGGGTGAGGCAAGGGTCCGCTGGCCAGCAGCGGCCAAATCATATAAAAGACGGGCCGGCCGCTAGGGTCAGCAGTCGCTCTCCAGCCACCGAAAAGGCACCAGCAAGAAAAGAAAAAGTACAAGTTCCTCCTCACCGCCGCTTGCCTCCAGTTAAAAGCAAGACCAGCGCGTTTTATTCCATTTTTCGCACGGCATTACGGCGATCCGTAATAGTATTAATAATAATATACACTAACACAGAGGCTCTAAGTAATCTTAACCTTTGTCTTCTCTATGTACCTATTTTATGATATGTCAAGTTCTCTTAAAGATCTTTGCTTGCGGCGGCATCGTGTGGTGGATCGTCCCTTTAAAATGGTTGGGGTAGGGCGAATACTGCACTTTCTATACACTAAGACAGGCTTTAACTAATGCTAAATCTGCTAAATCTTAAAAGAGGTACTCGATGTATCTCTCTTATGTCAAACTCTCTTAAACTCTCAAAACTCGCTTGCATTGTATGGCGGGTTGTCCGTTTAACATAGTCGAGGAGGGTGGTTCCATCACCTTCCTCAACCGTATTAAATTGGAATGGAGGACCTCTTACACGACTCTGTGGCAAGCAGACCCGGGATAAAAGCAAGGCCATTGTTCGACCATGATAAGCAAGGCTATAATAATAAGCAATAAAACATAATTGACACATTTATGCAACTTAAGACAAAGTGTTAATTATAATCAGTTACATAACTCTTGTCTCTGTAACGAATCAGTGATATGAATCAGGTTTGTGGCTGTCAGTAGAATATCAACTCTATTATTATAGGTGGAACGTGCAAAATTGAATGAATTGATCGTCGCCAACAAGGCACTACACGCGCCTATAGACGATGACGTATCGCAACTGATCGGTGACTCAGCTAGTACCGCAGGACTAAAGGTATGTATATTTTTTTTATATTTAATAGGGGCTACAAACGAGCCCACAGTCTACCTTATGGCACAGAATAAATGATGTACGAGAACAGAAGGCTCACTCTCTGATAGCAAACTTGCGAGTTTAAACCTAGTTATAACGTAGCTAATGTTCATAATACTTTGCAGGCCTTGGAAGTGACCTTCGTGAAATTAGCCTACGTCGAAACAAAAATTAATACAGCGCGCGTATTAAATCAAAATGCACCTTACGTCCGCGTGTGAGTGTCTGTATCGCTTAGCCCGTTCCGCGCCTTTGTTAAGACCGCTTCTACTGTAGGGTTAGGTGTTGTGAGAAAACAAATTGAATACTTTGATATTAGTTGATATATAGTAGAATATACCGAGTTGTTATGCAATGTATTAGTACTTTTTTATTTTTTATTTTGTTAAAAAAAACGTTACCCCAACACTAGGATTTTCTCCTGTATCGTGGAGGCAGTTAAAATACATAAATTTCACAAGGACAAACATCTAGACCCGGAACAATTATTTGTAGGCCATACAAATACTTGTTCCGTGCTGGATTCGAACCCGCGGCCCCAGCGTTGCAACTCATTGCTAATCCGCTGCGTCACGGAGCCATTAATTTGTTGATTAGGAAGGTTACTATGCCATATCGAGGAAAATTAAGATTATAACAACGTGAACGTCTTGAAACTCAGATAATTTACATACTTACCATTTTTAACCGATTTCAAAAAAAGGAGGAGGTGCCTACTCAATTCGACTGTATTTTTTATGTGTGATACCTCGCAACTTTTTTCTAGGTGAATACATTTTGATGATTCTACTAATATACATCCCATATAAATTTGATCAAGATCTCAACGGTAGTTTTGGAGTTATCCTTAATAATGCGTATTAATATTGAAGTCGGTTGTACAAAATTTTTAATTTCTCTTTTTAAAAAACGTTACTTCCACACTAGGATTTTCTCCTGTATCGCAGGGACAGTTTACATACATAAAACAGACCCAGAACCATTATTTTGACCAAGTGTTAAACAATTATCCAGTATATGCTGATTTTGCATTAGTAGGCAGTCACTAGTACTGGGAGGTCTACTTACACTGAACGTATTTTAAGGTCATTGGCATTATACGCAAAAAAATCGAAAACTGCGAAGCTGTGGTCGGGTCGCTAATCAAATAATTATCTAGATCTACCTATAAATAATAATATATTACCTTTCGGCATCCTTAGGAACAGTAAATAATGAAAAGTCGACATTCCTATTGTTATTTAAGCACCCGTATGCTATGCAGTATCTTTTGGCTTTTTGAGAGGCCATACTTGAATAAAAACTCAAAAATAATTATCAAAAGTGCGTCAAGGCGATCCATTCGTGCTACAACCATAATATAGCTGCAGCGTGGCTCTACCACATATTCTTTCTTTCTTTGGTAATGGACTTTTTTACAATAATATGTTGATGTGTCACATTGTAAAGTTTTTCGGATATATTGACGGCAGCTTGAGCCAGCAGACAGTTGATAGCATCTTAAGGCGCCTGAGCAAACATCATCCTCTTCTTTTTTTATCTTCTTTTTATAAATCGTTACCTTTTCATTGGAATTTTCTCGTGTATCGTGGGAGCAGTTTCATCATCATCATCATTACAGCCATTCACAAGTCCACTGTTGAACATAAGCCTCCCCCAAGAAATGCCACAAAGCACGGTACTGGAGCCACCTGCATCTATGCCTGCCATTCCTGCATGTCTTACCACGTCGTCACTTCATCTAATGGAAGGCTGCCCCACACTTCGCCTACCGGTACGAGGTTGCCACTCAAGAACCTTTCTCCCCCATCGGTTGTCGGTCCTTCGAGCTGTATGGCCGGACCGTTGCCAATTCAGCTTACTAATACATTGGGCTATGTCGGTTACTCTGGTTCTGCTGCGAATATCCTAATTTCTAGGGCAGTATACATACATAAATTTCACAAGGACAAACACGCAGACCCGGTTCAATAATTTGTCGGCCATATACTTGTTCCGTGCGGGATTCGAACACGCGACCCTTAGAGCTGTACTCGTTCCTAAGCCACTGTGCCACGGAGCCGTCAAATCAATCTTGAAATTCGCATCACCATCTTAGCACTTGTTTCATAGTTTCCACTAATAGTTCATATGCGCAGACAATTGATGCTCAAAATGGCCATCTCTTTTACGTAGCAAAATCTACTTCACACCATTGTTTAAACAATAAAATACTGGAGCAGCAATCCGAATATGTGGGGAGCTTTGGTTGTCAAGTTCCTTCCAAAACTCCCTACCACATATTCGGTAGTTGCCATGGTAAATCTAACTCAAGGTGTTATCATCAATAGTAACAAGCTACATTGTTTCAGACAGGCGACGGCAAACATGATCCGAGACTGATAACAATAGTGAACCTTACCGCTGTCGCAATAAGGCGCTTTATCAAAATGGCGAAGAAAATTAACGCTTTCAAGAATATGTGCGAAGAGGATCAGGTAGAAATTATAATATTGATGATTAAGCATGACTAGAATAGAATAGATTCATTATTATTCAATACTTGCTGATACCTGCGACTTCGTCCGCGTTGCTTGATATATTAACAACGTTTTCGTATGTGCAAAGGAAAAAATCATCAAAAAGATCGCAAGCAAAAATATACTTTACTTACAAGATTTATTTGTTATTTGTTGCCATTGAGTTATATGTACTACGTACTAGAGAAGCCATTCCAAACAAAAATTGTGTCCTACTCTACGAGTATGTCTTCGCGCATGCGCGGGAGTAGTAGTCGTGCATGCGCGAAGACTTTAATTTGATATAAAATAACATATTGATATAAAATAAATATAAGAATTTAATATAAAATATCTTAATTTAATCTAAACAAACATATTTCTAAATAAAATGTAATAATAATTATTATTTTATGGAATTCACAAATCTTCAATTTACGCAATATTTAGTTTGTATGGATTGCACTACAGTTCAGTTGAACATAGTCAATGTTCGGAATGGCTTCTCTAGTACGTAGTACATATAACTCAATTTTTGTTACATATAATGTTCACTGAACACGTAGTGCTTATAAAAATCGTTGTTTCTTAAAACTTTTATAACTTTATATTAAATTATAAAAGTTTTAAGAAACATTAAATCACAGTATTTTTTTTTAGATAAGGGACAAGTGTCTTAGGAATAAAACTTAGAAAACCTAATTAAAAAATAAACCAGTAGCATTTCCGTGATGCTCGCACAACTTTAAACCTGTATCATTTTATTCATATAGATTAGAAAAACTAATTATTGAAAGTAATTTAAGCTATACCACTGGTTCGGTAAAAATCTATGTCCTGGGAAGAACCAGCAAAAAACGAGTGTGACGTTAATAAAAAAAAAATTACAGTATAATCTTTTATATTAGTATGAAAACATTTAGAAACAGCAGTGTAACAGCAAGCAACAAGTTAAATATAAATGTAAATATTAACAAATTATTTTTTTCATATTCTTACATTGTCATCATTTACATTGTCATGTCGTGGATGCCCACGACTTTTTTGCCACCATGGCGGCGCTACTAGAAATTGAGGTATAATATTTGACAGATTTCATAGCGGGGAAGATAATTTGTTCGGAAATTGTAAAGGTTATTGTTTCTTTCTGTACTATTAGCTATATTTTATTCATAAAAGCAGAAAAACTGAAAAAATAGTTAAAAATGTGCAAAAAAATTAAAGAGCAAACCTCTGACGCATTGTTTTGTGTATTAATACAAAAAGGAACTGATAAACTTTTATTAAAAACCAACTTCTCAATTAAATTACACTGTGTAACAAAAAACTTTACCTCAATATCAACTAGCGACATCTGGTGAGCAGAAAATTATTAGCTCTCATTGGGAAATTAGTTTAAAATCAATTACTAAACTCTTAACCAACAGCGGAGTTACTTTCACCGTTTGTTCTCCGGTTAGAGGAATCGCATTTTAAAACAGTAGTAGATTTAAAATGACATTTGGCACCTGAAATTTATTGTCTTACACCGATTTCATTTCAATTCATTTCTCGAGTACGCTTGAGTACTACCACCACTTATATACTACTACCACCAACAAGCACTGCTTTCAGTTTCTGAAGACAGCAGTTAAGCCACTGTTATGTATAAAGATCCGGTATAATAGTTACAGGTTGTAAGGCATTCCTTCTAAGTGCTCAGAGGTCTGTAGCCATCTTTGTTTAAAGTATCCACTTACCATCAGGCGGGCTGTACGTATGTATCACAGGAGTCGCAGAAAGGAATAATAATACGCCTGATTATTTGTTGGTTCCTTTACTACTTTTACAGCACGAAAAAGCCCCTCAATCATTATTGCAATCGTTTAAATAATATCACACAATGGTGGTAGCTACCCCTACTGCCTATACAAACTGAACATAGCAACAGTTCGAATGTGTAAGAATTATACAATGCAAATACTTTTATAATATGAAAATAAATACCACTGTTATAAATATTACTGATAAGTCAATTAATTACAATTGTTTTTAAAATTAAATTTATAAAATTAAAAATAAAGTGAGAAAATTATCTATGATAATTATTATGACAATACAATGACTTAAACAAATGACGGATCTCATTTTAAAGTGTATATTTTGTATTTGCAGGTAGCTCTTCTAAAAGGCGGCTGCATAGAGATGATGGTCCTTCGGAGTACAATGACTTATGACGGACAAAGGAATCAGTGGAAGGTAGACTTTATCAATTATCTATGCTATATTATAAACAAGCAATTCTTGTATATATTATTATGTAACTGGTTTCAAAGAAACAGCTCTATTTAGAGGTTTTACTCTCGAAATTTATCGAGATAGGTGTCACCCCAGAAGTAATTTTTACTCATCCTGTCCTCCTTTTAATTTAGACTGTATTCAGTTGATGTAAAATCCAACTGTTTAGATATAGTAAGATAAGTCTTGAAGACTAATTTAAAATTCCATAGCTGTCCGGCATTTGATTAAATGAAGATTACATTGTAGAGTATTAAAGGTATTAATATTGATTGTACTTAGTTTTTTCATGTTTAAATCATTGTTTTCAAATCTTTGATTTGAAAACAATGATAGAATATCTCATGAAATTGAGTCATAGAGCAAAACGGGCCTCCGGCGTAGGGGAGCAGCTACACGCAAGCGTTCCCCTCTGTTAAATTATAGAATAAAATAGAATAATTTTTATTCTATTTTATTATAATAATAATAATTCTTATTGAAAGTAATTTTTTTACTTTACCACTTGTTTGGAAAATACCTCTGTCCTGGGAAGAACCAGCAAGAAACCCAGCGGGACCATAAGTCCACGCGGTCCTATTCGTACAATAAAACTAGTTGAAGCCGTGTGGCTCACTAGACTAAATCTAGTTAGGCGGCTGAACGGACGTCCTACAAAAATGCCGAATTGTTCAGTTTTTGCTGCAAAAAGAGATCTGCGACATCAAATTTAAAAAAGATGGCTTTTTTGATCAATTAAAGAAATGTCGAACATTCTGTCCTTTTTTATTTTTTAAATTCAAAATGCGTGGTAATGCATTATTTTAACTATTTTTACTGCGCACGTACACATTCGTTAGGGTCGATCGGTAGGCAAAAACGTTCTTGCCCATAAATCACATTCAATTTGGGATAATTTCAAATAAAAGGTCAGCTAAAATATCATTATTTATATATTTGAACTTAAGTTTAAAATTTGGCTACTCTTTGAAAAATAACCCAGTATAATTTTTTAAATATGTATTTCAAATGTTTATATTATAACGACGAATGAACTTACCATCCACCTAACAACTAATGACCTGTCTGGTCATTGTTCTAGTGGTCTTAAGCACGACACGTGGTCCCGTGTTCATATCTCGCGTAGGAGTAAAGTCAGTTATTGGAGTTTTCTTTAAAAAGATTCAGTAGCCGTCCGGAGTCAGGAAGTTGGTGGTGTTTCACTTCCGTGCCTCGGAAACCACATAGAGCCGGTGGTTCTGCGCCTGATCTCTCTCCGGTCGTATCGGATCACCGTGCCATCGGAGTATGAGAGTGAGGGAATAGAGATGCATCTGTGCTTGCGCACGCACTCGTGCACTATAATCCTGTCTTGGGCTGATGACTAGTTTCTGTTAAGACCGGTCACCTTGAACTAAATTCGGACTGCACTTCATTATTAATATTAGCCACAATTAATACCACTAGCGCCATCTAGTATCGAGTAGTAGAACTAGGAGAGTCAAGAACGTTCTAGAAATTTCCGTGGAAGAACTTTCTGAAACTATCGACACCTAGTCAATCGCGACCAATATGTACTCGAACATTCTAGATGTTTCTACAGTAGAAGGTTCTGGAAACTATCTGACGCCCTATATAAGGCCGATATAGACCTCGACCGAGACAGTATTGAATTGACGATATAAGCGAATACTTCGAAGCGATACAACTGCGAACTAAAGTGATCAGTAGTCCAATTTAGTGTTGCCCAAATGCAAGAACAAGACGAGACTTAGCAAGTCTTGGTCTTGGTCTTGCGCCAATACACCTGGTCTTGGTCTTGGTATTGCGCTCCCAGTCTTGGTCTTGGTCTTGGTCTTGCAGCAAGAGTCTCGCAAGTCTCGCAATGATCTATTAGCCTATTACGATTTATTAAACGTTACTTTAGATCTTAGAACAACTTAACAGAGTAGGTACATATTGAGCTTGAATTAACATAGCCATAGTAAATACCAACCATATTAATAAATGTCTAAGCATTTAATGAGAAATTCGAAAAATCAACTGACACCGGGTGGGGTTTGAACCTACGACCTAAGCGATCCGTGCCGATGCTCTAACCAACTGAGCTATCTACCGTGTCCCACGGCCACGGGCGTCAGTTTCTTAATAAACGTTTACATTTAATAAGCTTACATGTGCTAAAACATGGTTAAACATACATATAAAAACAAATTAATGGCAATAACTACACTGTATTTTAAATAACATTATCTCTCTAGAAAGAGATTGATGGACCCTCACCATATATGAAATGGAATAAGAGTTATACAATATACAATTTATTTAAATAAAAAATAAAATACGATGCAAATTAAATTACTTCACAGTATGTACACAACAGTTTTGACATTACTGTTAAATTATATTTATTCTTTTGACAAAGTATTAATACAAAGTAACCATCTGGCTGACTCATCATTTAACCTATTTCTATGTTTTCTAATTACTAATGATGCTTTAGAAAATAATCTCTCAGCAGGTACTGAAGTTGCAGGTATTAAAAGAAAATCACGGGCCATCTTCGATAAAATCGGATATTTTGTCTCATGCGTCCTCCAACAGTCTAAAATGTCTTCCGAAATGACGGCTCTGGGTTTACCTAGGTACCCCTCCAACTCCTTAATAACTAAGCCTTGAAGACAAGATCCAGATCCATTTTTACACATTTCAAGTGTTTTAAAAGTGCTATGGTGTCAACCATATTTATCAAATGTGTGTGTATATCAAAATATATTCGAGCACTTTGTGTTTTAAAAACACACACTTGCAAAAGTCGAGATTTGCAGTGAACTTACTGAACATGTTTATCTTTTAGGTAATAATAATAACAATAAACCTAGCAAGCTAACAGCATAGCAAAGTGGCGAAGCAATCAGCTTAGTCGCATGTTTTTGATGTGACTTCGCAAGCTTCGCCACTTAATAATAGTAAGTAATTATTATAAATCCATATAGTTAATTTTATAATAATTACTTACTAGAGTAAATTATTATGATACCTACCTATTATCTAATTACAATATTTCTTGCGAGATCAGGATAATGTATTCGTGTCCATTCTGAGCACCCGGAAACTTATTTTATTCTTTGAAACAAGTACTCTGTGGCGGCAATCAAACAGTGTCAAATGTAGTGCGTGTGGCGCGGCGGCGACGATCATGCGATATCAATAGTAGCCGCCGGCACGTGTATCTTGACCTTGTACTTTCGAATAGCTGCACAATTTCTTTGACAGAAATCATGTCAGTATCCGACCTTTGATGACGCCGACAACAAGACGCCGCGCACTATCAAAGTGCCGATGGTCAAAACTAGGGATGCACTCTTTTTTCTTTTAATGGATATTTTCATTCGCTATGTATGTTTATGGTATTGTTCGTAATGCGCATAAGTCCAATTTTCCAATTTTTTTTTCATTATATTTTTTTGCGTCTCATAGAGTCCCTAAGCGTCTACCCGAACTCCTATACTCCCTGAAACGACACTTAGTCCTAACTGCAAGACGCAAGAGTCTCGCAAGCTTAGTCTTGTTCTTGCGCAAATCTTGCACGGTCAGTCTTGGTCTTGGTCTTGCAAAAATGCAAGAACAAGACCAAGACCGATTTTGGGCAACACTAGTCCAATTGTGTTTTATTATTAGTGTAGTTTTAAGTTGTAATTAGTGTTCTGTAATTAAAGTGTCAATTTTGGTAATTCAATCGGCAGTTTTTAATTGTCTCGAACCCCAAGCTCGTAACATTACTTATTAAGTGACCACGTAACTGACATATTGTCACTCATGAGGATTAAGATAAATAGAATCACGACCTGTAATTATATTGGCTTTCTTTTCTTTCGCACTGAAACACAGTCCCAGATTCACTGATTTTTTATTGAATATGGGTGTGATACGAGCACACAGTTCACCACATAGACACTTGCATTTATCCCCGATTAGCAATCAAAATGTAGGTGCGTTGGTTGACAATTGTTGACAAACAGTATACCTTACTAGTAAAAGTGGTTTCTGGTTCTCTCTGCTTACCATATAATATACATTAGAGCCTATCAAAGACCACTGCTGAACATAGGCCTACTCATATATTGCCTCAGTAGAAGGGGTATTTGACATAGTTATCACGCTCGGCATGCGTGTTAGCAACCGTAGTTTTTTTTTTCTAGTAGTTAGAAGTTGGATGATGCTGCATTATTTTATTTTATTTATTTTTTATGTTATGGAAGACCAACAGCTTACAAATCTTAAGTAAATAACTAGTCAAATTTACAAGAAGGCAATAACAGGTTCTCACCAATAGAAATACAATAACATAATCATTCGTTGTTTAAAAGACATAGCACAGCATTTTTTACGTGGTAGAGCCATGCTGTAGCTATATTAATAGTATAGTTGTAGCACGAATGGGTCGGCTCGACCGGGGAAGGACCACGCTCTCACAGAATACCAGGGTAAAATAGCAGCTTAACGCTACTGTGTTTCATATGGTGAGTGTAGAGAACCGAAGACCCTTTTTACTGGCAAAGAGGCATTCCATCTTAGCCCTCACGGCTGACAACGCATCTGCATCTTGAGTCTTTATTGAGGATAAATGTAAATGTGTATGGGTCACATTAACCACTTACCATCAGGTGGACTGTGTGCTCCTTTGTCACCCTATCCCATAAAAAAAAAACAAATAAGAGCATCAAATATTGAGTCTAAGTGAGGTAGTTTAAATGTACATCATGCATAAATTTAATAAATGAAACAAATAATAATAGCCACAAAAGAAAAGAAAAACAGTACTATACGCACTGCATAACTTTTTTTAATAAATTACGACACAAAAAAGCTCTACGGTAAACATTATGGTGTCAAAAATATTGTGCTTAGATTTATTATTCAATATTTAAATAACAGCACTCAAAAAGTCGTTACCAATGGTAAAGGTTCCTCCGGATCAG